TTTTTTAATTTCAAATAGATTTTCCATAGAATTGCGCGGTCTGAATGAAAACCTGTCCATTTCAGAAATGATATAATTAAGACCATTAGTCCATGTCATTCCAATTACAGAACGCAGTCCATCAGTTACAAATGCTGCGCATACTGGCAGATGCGAACAAAACGAACCGTTTGTTTTTATGAATTAGGAAAGGATTACTCGACATATGAGAAAAAAGAATGATATACGAACAACTTTTCACATATGTTACGTCCAGAGAAATAAATGAACGAGCCAAATATTCTACGCCAAAGTTACGGATGTGATGATTTTGATTTAGTTCTGTATAAAACGTTCTTCGTATGGTTTTGATTATTAATTATATGGTGACCTGCAACTTTTTATTGCCCTATTGAATGTACTTCATTTTAGTTTTTCATATATATTATTTGTAATTTTGTTTCTTAGTCTAATCCGTTTTTTTACGTTGGAGTGCCCAATGGCTGTTTTCACTATGAAGTCATATTTAGATCTATATTTTCATATGCAACTTGATATCACTACTGCTTGATACCAGGTATCACAACTTGATGTTAGGGATAGGGTTATAAACTTGCAAGTTTATAAATATACCTCAGCCAAACAATCAATTTGTCCTTTTACCAATTTGCCCTTTTAACAATTTGTCTTTTTATCAATTTGTCCTTTTACCAGAAGTACCACTCCAGAGCAGAGTCGTATAAGTGCTACTGCACTTTCTTTTCTCTTCATGATACATCTCCCTATAAAGTAAAATATATTCATTTTCGTAAGCATCAAGCCGATGCCAATGAATATCATGAATAACTTTGACAGCCGACAAACCCCAGGATTGAGAGAGAGCGTTCCGCGTGTACGATGGGGCGGCTGTAGGTTAAACCCCCTTAAAAACCCCGCTGAAGCGTTCTATAGACTATAATTATTCAATTTGTCCCCGTGAAAAGGAAATCAATCAATCGGCGATGGCAAAGAGCGTGAAAGGGATGCAGGCAGCAGATTCAAGGAAGGAACAAGGAACAAATCTATTGTTGAGTTGAGACATGCCATCGGGCAAAGTATAGCTGATTGAATGTTGTTGTACCTGGTTGGAAATAGATACAGACGATGATATGTTGAATTGTTTGATGACTAATTGATATTTTATGTAATTCTTATTATAAACATTTATTCGATTCAATTTAAATTAATATTCACATTAGGATGGTGCTCAATATGGAGATTTTCGAATTTATTTGCTCTCAGGGGCTCAAATGCTTCCAGTTTGATAAAATAAAATTTTTCGAAAGTTTTAGATCTTTTAGAATTTTCTTTATTCTTAAAGACTAAACTTTTTTAAAACTTCATTTTCAAAAATCTTTAGTCTTTATGGAATTTTTTCAATTATATATGTTTAGTTCAATTTTATGATGAAGGTTTGTTTTTCTTCAATATATTTGGATTAGTTTTCAAATCAGTGAAATTTGGATTTCATTGTTTTTTTCTTTGGTCTTCTGATCGGGATGTTCTGCACAATAAGTTGATTATAGTCTTTGAGTACTGCTATTGCTGACCTTTTTTATCGTAGATTTTAAATTTTATGTCATCTTTGAACATCAATGATATGCATTAATATTGAACCGAGTAAGCTTACTACTCCACTATATCCATTGTGCATTCTGTCATTAAATTTATCTCACTATTTCCTATAAAACTAAATCCGACAAGAACACATTCCGATTCTTCTAATAGAATTTATAGTACATGCAGACAACGAGTCCACTGTACAATCGATCGTATTTCGATGGGCGGTTGAGCTTCATTTTATTTTATTTTATTCTATTTTATTTTTTTGTTCCCGTTCAGGCAGCGAATTCGCCCCGTTCCTCTTTTTTTCGTCCTGAATATCTCTTTTCAGGCGGATTCCGTGTCTCTCGCGAGTCGGGTTCAATCGGAATGGGTGTAAGTTGTCGCATCTGGTACGCCAGACTTAATATATTGAATGAATAAAGGGTGTCAAGCGATCGAAAAGATCGTCAACTGCTTGTTATGAAGGAGAGGATCCGGAATCTTTTCATACGAAACGAACAGATTGAAAAGTGTTACGTTAATTTATTATATGGGGAATTGATGGATCGAGAGATTGGGTTGGGAGTTTCAAATCCACTTTAATTAACTACTACGTTTTATATTTCGAGTTTGATTCTACTTTTTCATAAAATTATTTGTAGAGGTTTGATTGGTTGATGTTAGTTGACACCTATTATATACATTACTGATTTCTTCTCATTTCTGACCTAAAAATTTTCCATTGTTGAGCAATAATAAATCGATGTTGGTAATCAAGACAGTATTTTGCAGCATTTCTATTAATTTGCTTCATGAACTATATATATATAAATATATACGAACATATTTATAATTCAATATTTTCAGTCAGATATATAAACATCAAGTAAAGTGTAACACATTATATATTCGTAAATGAAATTGGGGTGTTTATGATTCTACATTTATTTTTCACTTAATTATTCATGAACTTATTTTTCATTTTTTACAAGCATGACATGTTTCACTAATCTGTGTTGTTTTACATAAAAAAAATTATTAATAATTTAGTATTTTTCATCCATTACATCCCAGAAGAAAATAGTTAATACCTACAGAATTTTCATAAAATATTATAAATAAATAATAGCATAAAATAATTAATTAAAATGATTAATAATTTTAGGATTAATCAATTTTATTTAAGAATGCACTTAGAATTAATGACTTTGGGTAAATCTTAATAAATAAATGATAACGTTAATTGTACAAGTGACGTACGTGCAAATTGATATTATGAAATCCCAATGAATACGTAGAACATAAAATAGTACATGATATGAAAAATAAATAAAAAAATTACAATGTATGTATGTGGCCCTAGCAAAGCCAATAATAGCAAAAATAATCGTTTCAGTTTTGATAAACTAACCCACATAGCATCGCATTATTAAAATCCCTAATCCCATGGTTCGCAGCAAAAGCAGCTATTATATTTTCATTCATAATGCAATTTTCGTTCATTTATTTTATATTCTGAGCCGCGGAGTTATCTATAGAGGGAATTAGTGCGATCAATATTTTAGGCACTCTTGGCCGTTACAAGCGTATACTCGCATTAAGTCAGTATTAAGCACGTGCTATTCTGTGTATCCTCTTATAGTCAGGAGGTGCAAAATCCTCTTGTTTATTAGCAACGATGCCCAAACCCTCGGTGGACCCTCAATTTAGGGCTGGTATCGCCGTTCGGCAAGGATTAAGACCTTTTACATGAAACCGAATCGAGAGAAAGATTGGTAAAGGATTATGAAAATCAGTAATTGGAGCAAATATAATGGACATATTTTTAATTTTAATGATAATTGATACTTTGTACAATTTACATTACGATGTATAATTTTATTGCTCCGTATCTCCGAAACGGCTGGACTTGCTTCTGCCAAAAACTAAACAGGGTATCGCGTCTTCAATAGGAATTCAATGATTGTTGAATCTTCCTAATAAGAGTAAAAATTTTACACCTATTTTAAAGCCTTCTTTATAGTGATAGAGCAGAAAAATATAACTCTGAAAGTGACAAATACAAATAATAAATTTTGAATATGTGATGTAACAGAAATGTAAGCTGGTGATTATGGACCTGGGATTGAAATTCTTTACTTGTTTCGAGTATGATCTATCGATCCTCAATCTACAACCCTTTGTTTATCAGCCTAAATAAATCTCATCCGTGACAAATGGACTTACAAACAGTGGACACACGAATTCCATTTGACCACTGTCTGTTTCTCCAACTGCAGCCATTATCCCTAAGCGACGACATCCATCAGTTGCATTCGACTCCTTGCACTACTTGCTCCACTCATGCACGCACGGCCTGGTCGTCTGTCTGGTGTGCACAGTTTGTGTCTGCGTATGTCTGTGCAAATGTTTGCACGTATTATGGAGGATCCCGTTGTATAAATATTTGACTACACGGGCGGAACACAGCCTCTGGCCCTCTTCTATCGCATCTGCCGGGTGACGGACGGGAAAGAGCGGCCGCCTGGTGCCCGAGATAGCGCATCTGTTGCCGCATGTTATGGTCAGATCCTTACCAGATAGGATGGTCGGATATCTGCGATCGCATGGCTTGTCCTGGACTGTTAGATCAAAGTTATAACAGGGTTATTGTATTCTTGCAATACTTGGGAATTGTTTTAATTTTATGACACAATCTTAGTTAGTTCAGTTAAAACTAGTTTTATTAAGATTTATCCGCTTCGTGTGATTACTATATTTGGAATTTTGCGATTCAAAGTTTTTGCTGATAACAATAATTGATCATCTCATATATTATCACATAATACTTGATGGTCACTCATACACGCATTTTTTTAACACTAAGCCTTGAGATTTAATCATACAAAATTAAAAAAAAATATAATACAAAACTTGAGATTTTATTCATAACAAAATATCTTGATAAAATATTTTAGGAATATAAAATATATACATATATAACAACAAAATATTAACACATTATATTTAGTTTCTAATACAATGAATTTTTATATGTACTTTTATAGTTAAAATTATAAAATACTATGCCCAAAAAACTGTTGGCAAATATGCATACAACAAGGAATAACTTAAAAAATATACCATTATCCTTGTAGCACAAATATATTAGACAGTATTGAAAACAACGCATATTTTATTTTTATCTATATCACAATCACATGTTTCTCACTTATTTTTTGCGAATTATTTAAAACTTTGTATTTTGTTTTTTTTTTTATTAAAAAACATCCAACTAAGAAGGTGAAGTGTTTTTTGCAAATTAACCTCGTCCTTCATCTGCATTATTGTTGATTTCTCGAGTTTAACATTTGATTAACAGGATTTAATCATTTTTGATCCAACAGGAATTTCATATTTATTTTGTTTCTATAAAAAAAATCATATTCAAGGGCTTTGATGAACATAATGAATTTCGATATTTGTAATTTAACGTGAGTTTTTTAACTAAAATCTCCTTTTTGGTCAAATTGGTAAAATCCATTCGTAAGACTTCTTCGGACACCTCATTGAATCTTTTGATATCTTATATCTAAGTTGTGAAATAAACCACAATGCAAATGAACAAAAGAAAGGCTCCATAGTATGGGAAATTATACGAATGCTTCTTCTTGAACTGAGGAAAATAACTTGAATCGGACAGCAAAGTTGGTCTATAAATGCTGCTGGCGCTATTTGCGGCAATATTCGTTCCTGCCGCCGGTGTTCGATCTGAGGCCGTTGCAGCCGTGTCGTTTATCGTAACACTTGTTGATTCGTTCATTCTGTTCAGTCTTTGGATTTGTTCGAGCTGAACCTAAAATATAGTGAAAAATGAAAATGTTGTTATTGATTAAAATTTGTAGATATATGATATCTCAATAAACAAGACTGAGCTGCAATAATTTTGACGAGAGCCTTGTCTAATTGAAAGAGTCTTCTGACTTGAAAGAACTTATAGCGCGAGAAAAAATCTTTGTTGAACGGAATATTTCTTCAGAATGTTACTATGACCGCATACAATTTTTCTTTGTTGGTCAAATGCAATTTACTGCGTACGCAAACCACACAGAAAATGATTAAAATGCCATTAACATTTGTCCAATGATCCGACATATCTACAAGGTGCATAGATTATATAGTCATTTCAGACGCAATACATATAATAAAAAATGTTCATTTCAAACCAGAGAGTAAAATACATTTTAATCCACTTTTTCAAAAACTTAAGTCTCGTTCTTTCATACAAAAGTTTATCACTATTTCAACAGGTATAAATAAATGCATTATTATATATAATAATATATCAATTGCTATATTACCTGCAGCAATATGCGAGCTGCAGATTCATTGAGAGGAATTCTCGTGGAGGAATCGTTCCGAAGCAATTGTATGACGGCACTCGGAATCAGGAACTGATTCAGAGGCTGGTTTTGTGGATCGTTCGAGGCTGCTGGATCTCCTTCAGATGAAGTCCTCGATGGAGAACTAGAAAAAAAATGTACTTATTTATATATAAGCTCATAATTACAGGCATATATGCATATATGTATGTATTTTATATGTGTCTATATATTTGAAAAAAAGTTTTAAGTAGTAAAATACTTGCATGCTAAAATAAAATAGTTAATAATTTGGGCGCCAAGTTTTAAGTAGTAAAATACTTGCATGCTAAAATAAAATAGTTAATAATTTGGGCGCCAAAATCCTAATAAATCTAGGTGGAAATAATAAGTAAGAATAATCAAACACGTTTTTCTTTTTGTCAATACGTTATATATTACCCATTAATAAAGTATAATTATTCTTCTAAAATAAAATGGTATCTAATATATAAAACATTTCAGAGAAGTAATATAGAGAGATTTAACATTATCTTTGATTAAAAAAGAAGTTAAAAATAGAAATCATTACGCATAAAATAATCAATCTGGTAGTAAAATATATTTATCATATGTTTTAACTATTTTTATTGTGCATAAAAATAAAACAAATATATATTGTAAATATATATTTAATTAAATAGAATTTTAGCTACATATAAAATCCAGAAAATTCTAAATCTCAGGTTATCACAGTTAATGGAAAATTTTTAATGCACATATGATAATCTTTCTTGTATATGATAAAAAGTAATTTTAAACATTCCAACAATGAGCTTGGATTAATTTCAGTTTATCTAATGTAATGATCAAATTAATGAAATTTGGATAATAAATTTAAATCACTGAACAAGCAACAAGAACAAATATATATATATATATATATATATATATTAAGAATGTGTAAAATTAGAAATTAGCATAAATAATATTTTTCCAAAAACCAATAAATGATTTTATAATAGACCTACCTCAAGCTAGAACAAGGTACAACATCACAAGTTTCATAATTCTTTCCATTTTCATCAAACTTATGACGAATATTATCAATATCTGCTTTGCATAATGGACATGTGCTTTCGATCTAAAAATAAAGACAGATGTGTTTGATAAAATGTGGTGTAATAAGATACCAAAAATATAATATTGAAACAAACAAGTTGTATCGATGTATAAAATCAATTATCACTGTCAAAGTGATTTGATGAAATTATGGTTTTGGATAATTTTTTTTTATAAATTTATGAAAAGGAATAAAATTTACTGACCTTACTCCATTCTGAGATGCATTTGAAACAGTATTCATGTAAACAAGGATACAGCACACTTCTATCTTCAAATTCAGACAAACATATTGTGCATTGGATTTTTGCGGATCCTGTTGATATTATACTCAAGCGATATTCACTTTCTACAAAATACAGGAAAAACAATTATATTGGATAGATTTTGCACAGACTATTGAATTTGTTTGTTTTTTACTTAATGTAAAAGATTGCATTTAATAGTCAATTGCTCTTTGGGGCAAATCTTGCCATTTTTTTAGTCTTTAGTTTCATTTTTATTTGGTTCAAATTAGCTGTTTAGTTAAAGATACATAAAGTCCTATCTAATAAAACGATTAAATATACAAATTGGCACAATTATAAATAAACTCATTAGTCACAATTGAAAATGTGGAATTCCTGCTTTCAAGTACGTTATTTATCCAATTTCTCAATCTTCATAAATATTAAATAATTGAAAAACAACTTGAAGCTTATCTCAAACGCATCTTATGAAATAAATAGATGTGCTATTATTATTTAATTAATATTGTTTATGTATTTATATATTTATAGTATTATTATTAACAACTTTTCGAAAAAAAATTAATTGATATTTTGCCAGAAATTCCAATTTGCTAATTTAATATGTTGCAAGTCGGCACTCCAATTTTAAAATTTCAAAAACTGTCCGAAAGATTTTATTTAAGAATCACGTATGAACATTAGTTTTTGGTAAAGATTGTCCATTAACGCAAAATGCCACTCACATCTATTTAGATTACAATGTGGTATAAATATGCTAGTTATGTCATTTACTGATTAAAAGTATGTTTTCACACTTCATCTTACTTGACGGTTCTTGATTTTCTCTAGTCCTTACATCAGCCATAATTTTCAATCAATGCACTATCTACACTTTGTGATAAATATTACAAACACAAAATATCATAAATGAATAATTCATTTATTCCAATATCTTCCTTTTACAACTTTTGAAAGGAAATGATAATAATTCAGCTGCCATTTATGAACTACCGACAGTAAATAAGCGATCTTGATCTAATAGGTAATAACACCTCACTCGACGTGTCGCATTTTATCTTGTATCTCATTGTCAACTTTGATAAATTTTGAGGAATGATAAGATTCTGCTGGATGTGAATAATCATTGTACATGCGTATTAAAATTTACAAGAATATCTAAAATACATGCGGAGATAAAAAATATATTATAAAATTTTTGAATCATAATTGTCTCACTTCCCCAAGAAGTTTATATTTTCCCAGCAAATTTGATTTTCTTTTTTTATTATTTTGACATTTCATGCCATTTTAAATCGTTTGACTCCAAATTTGGGTAAATGCTACGATTTGCTGTAAATAGCTTATCTGTGATTTTGAACTTAGAGCACCCTAATACTTACAGTAAAACTTTAATCGTGTGATTAATATATAATATAAGTAATATTGAGAAGACATTTTTAAAAATATTCGTAAATACAGTTCACTACTGAATTTGCGAATAGTTTTAGAAATGTCTTCTCAATATTACTTATATTATATATTAATCATATTGTAATTATTACATATTTACTAATTAGTATTTTAATCATTTACCCATTCATTTATATGTAAGCATATGAGTCAAAAATTTTACTTGGAAGCCATTTGATAATTGAATGTGTTAATTAGGTTTGAGACACAGTCAGCTGAGCCGTTTTCTTTATAATTAAATTAAAAATTTAAACTTTAACGTCAAAGTTTTTGCAAAATCAAAATCTATTCGAAAGTTTTCAGTTAGGATTTGTGCATGGTAAAGATCGGCCGAGTCGTTTTTTGGTAATTAAATTAAAAAAAATCTCTGACAATTTTTATGAAACTTGGAACATTGTGTAAACTTAGGTTTTAAAATATCAATTAATACTTAAGTTTAAAATTAAGTATAATTACGAAGTTCTTCTTTTATAGAATAATGAATATAATGAGGACATATACAGTGTATTTTTACATAGAATACCTACTTTGTGATAGAATATTTTTAAAATAAGAAGTAGTGATAAATACATTCCAATAAAATATATTCAATTTTAATAATTGAGAATCTTGGATTAGTAACATAAATAGATAATACTAAAAAAAATTAATATTTCAATCAAATATAAGAAGTTAAGTTTGTAAGAAGTTTCAATTTTGACAATTGAGAATCTTAATATAGTATAAAAATTAAATATATATTTTTAACTATATTTTGTTATGTTATAAAAACCATAATTAAATAGTTTTGGAATCGACTAATCATAAAATAAGTGAATTTTATTAAAGTTCTTTAAAGATGTATATAATATTAAATTCTTACTATATGTAATTGTTTAAATTGCTGTATAAATCAAATAATTTCTCAAATATAATGTAATGTGTTTAGTGAATAAAGGTTTTGCCCAAATGTAAATTACACATGTATTAATTACTAGTTATAAGTGAGTATAAATTTTATTTATTATAAAGTTTTATAAGTAGATTAATAATCAACATGTTTTCCAAGACCTGCAAAATATTCTGAAGATTAATTTAGATATTTATTAAAAGAGAAGATTAATTTAAATTATATTTATTAAAAAGTTTTGTAAATATATTAACAACCAACATGTTTTCCAAGAGTTGCAACATATTTTGAATATTAATTTACACCATGATAAATTTGGATTACTTCAAGTATTTAGTTTTACTATTTATTCGTCAATAACGTCATGAAGGAACCATGACTTTGGTTACAAATTTATTTTTATTTATTGGAATACAAAATTAAAATTTTCGGCTCATCCGAAATTTGCCGAAGGGTGAAAGAGAGGGAATGCACATAAAAGTAAGAGTACAGGTGCATTAATCCTCTTTCTGCTGCCAGCCCTCTGTGAAGACACAGTAATAGATACATATTTATGTTGTCAACAAATTTCATAGAACATCGTTTTGTGACAGAAAAGATAAACAAAGATTCGAATTTGTACTGTTCACGGACAATTATGGGCAGACCGATAATACAATTATAATACACATATTTATTATAATGTATCTTTCATACAGATTTGGATGCAATAGTTTCAGCAGTGGACTCTGAAGAAAAAACGTGCTTTTAGGAGTATGGTATGTATTTGACGTCTTATATGTTTTGTATCAAGACTTCTGTATAATAATGAAATTTACTGCAAGATTTTAATTCATTATTACTACTGGACTATGTGTAATATTAATAAAGTACACGTAATACAGAATTTTGTACAAAAGCAATGAATTTTGACATCTTGCCTAGGAAATTATTCCAATAGAAACGTGCTGAAGTTTTATCTAAATTTTATTTAGTTCATCATACTGTTCTATCCATTTTTTGTAATTAATAAATATATATATCAATAATAAATAAATTTTATGATTCATAATAATGAAAATTATGTTTATTGTTTTTTCATACTAAAATATAAAATTTATTGATAATAAAAAAAATCATTTATTTTGTTGTAACTACATAAGAAGGGTAGATCCTTTTCTGACTTTTTCTATTTATGCTCTTTTCTGAAAATGCAAATTATTTTGAATGCCATATTTATTGAGTAATTTGAGATATATTTTTTTTATTTTTATTCAAGATTTTTATTAATATTTAATTTTATCTTTTCAGGTGTCTTGTGTAGTGTAGTCCACGTTCCAATAGTGATTCGAAGCAGACTTTAGTGTTTTAGTAGTAGACAATAAACATTTTTTCGTGTTTTAAATTTTAGTTTAAATTGACTATGATCGCGCGAACTTTTAGTGTGAGTGAATGTTTTTGTGAACTTTTCAATCGAGGAACTACAGGATTATTGTCCTGCTGCTGAAATTATAAGGTAGGATTTATTAAATATATTTTATATATATATATATATATATATATATATATATATATATGTTAAGGTGGATCAATTTACAGCGGCCAAAAAACGTCGCATAGTCACATATGATTTTTGGATTCTAGTGATCAAAATAAGATACTTTGCTTAAGAAACCATACCTCTAAAATGAATGCTGATGCCCCGTGCATTGACTCAAAGATAAGGGTTGAATTTTGAAAAATTCGGTTTTGACTTATTTATAGTGCACTAATGACTGACCCCCACTAACTTTAAAAGACCGTTTACCCCCTGGACTCCCCCTGAGAGATCTCCAATACAAAAATTGCTAATAGTAGAAAAATTTAAGGCTAATCTTTGGTCAATGCATTTTTGTTTCTTGTGCTAATTATGTTATTGTGATATTGCACATCATCATCATCTTCTTAATTGCATCTTAATTATCAATAAATCATGTCCCATTAAAGCTCAATATAATTAGTGAGTCATAATTGTTTTCACGCAACTAACTTTCGTTAATTTTTCAGCGTTTTTTCTCATTTAATATTCGCGCCCCGCTCGGGCAGGCGCGCAGTTGTATAATTTCCCTGAAGCGGGCGGCCCTCGCCCTCTGCGCCACTGCTCGGCGCGAATACCACCCACTTGTATCAGATATTCTCTCTCGAATGTGGGGCCGGCATTCAGTATCGCTATAGAGCCAGTACGACCAACAACGAAATATTCATATACATGAAATTCGTTGTTGTTGACTATCGTTTACTCGTGAACAATAACGTTAATTTCATTAAATTAACTCGTCTAGCATTAGATATAAAATTTACATAGGCTGAATTAAAATTAGTTGGAGAATAGTGACTGATTAGCGTACGTGTTGTAAAATATTAATCAAAGCGCTTTATATGTTTTTTACTGTAGATTTGTGTTAACCCATCATTGTTGTGATTTTGTATATTGTTGACGTTAACGTGATAATAAACATTACTTTAGTTATTAAAATACTAAGTAATTGAATATGTGACAAATTGTTCGCGAAAGATAACTTTCTATATTGAAACCGCAAAAATTACTTTCCACATATAGTGGCGTATAATATAGAACAGTAATAGTTGCATAAATATCTAATACAATTTTAAAACTTTCATTATCTTGTGGTTGTTAACTCCAACTTGATTCCGTGTCACGAAATTTTTGTTACCGCAACTATTTTTCGTCCGACATTGTGAGTTAGTGCCGTTCCTGAAAAACGATCCAATTTAAATTTGTATCCTGCAGTGTGGAGTAAAGTGAAATCACTTAATAAATCAAGATAAATTGCTAGTGTATTGCGATAATGCATTTACCTCGTGCCGAGAAATAAAAAGTGTGGCATTGGTTTCGTGTTCAGTATTGACAATAAGTAATAACTTAGTATAATTGTACCATAATGCTTATGATAGTTGTAATAGAAATCTATATGATAAAAAAATAATTTGCAATGCCTATATGATATAGTGTTAGAGGGTTTGAATCTGCATCACGTTGTTGTTGTATATCGTGTTACTCAGTACTCAATAATTGAAGCGTTTTATGCAAATTGGGCTGTGTGATTATTCAAAATCACTACTGGTCACACCTATATTGATTACCCGGATTTCGTGTCCTGTAACAATTCATTTGCGGACACGTAAATGTAATTGCGAGCAACGAAATAGGCCACTCGAAATATTAAATATCGTGTTGAACGTTTTATATACAGCTTCCATTAAATTGTAATTGCTTTGGAATTAACTTTTAATCTTTTGTTATTTAATTGAGCAACATTAAAGAAACTAGACAAATTGTGGTAAAATTGTAATTGCGTTTAGAGATAAAGTCCTGCAAGTTAGTTCGCAAAACACGCGCGTTCCGCTGTCAACCGATTACGTGCGCACGGATACGACACGTATTTCGCGAACGCCGACACTCAAGACCGCAAAATAACTTCATCAGTCCAGCCCGGCCCGGGCCCTTCGGGGCTAAGTCTGGTCGGGGTATATCCGTGCGCGGTCTGGGCGCCGAAAGCGACTGCCTGCACGCGCTCGAACGTTAGAGCGGCCCCGTACGCGGTGCGACCACCGCAGGCGGTCCAAATCCAAAGTGCTCAACCGGCCATAGCCCCAATTCAACTACAAACAGTGCAACAAGTGGCCG